AATCATGCAATTTACATAGGTTTTTTTAATATTCCATTTGTTTAATAGTCACGTGTAGCATTTTCTTTACAAATATCCAAGGTATCTTTCATAAAATATTAAGCGATTATTGCTTACACGCGTCGTTATATTTTTTTTTTTTTTTTTACCACAGACGTTTTTTACCCATGCATCTCTCGTTCTAAACACTAACTAATAACAGCTTTCTTTATTGTTTCAGTAAGAAAATCAATACTGACATCGACATATTCGGCATCAGCAAAAACCTCGACATCCCACACAAGGAAAAGTCACTGGATCACCTAACTTCATTTTTTGTGAACCGCGTAGCCAGCGGTTGCGAGCGCAGAGCAACGGTCACCGAGGGAGAATTCTACATCGACTGTAAGGTGTACAAGGCTGACGACGCTCGCCTTACTGACTCCGCCGAGCTGTGGAAGAAAGCGCTCGTCCGAATCAAGTTCCAGACTGACGCGGACTCTCCTCAATGGCGAAAATTACAAGAGCTCGTGCGTGCGGCTGATATCTTGTTTCCAGACAAACCAACATTTTATGATAATTAAATCCAGTAGCTAACTTAGAGTTGTTTATTATTTACACTAAAAAACCTTTAACGCTTTGCATGGTAACAGCAAATGCAAACTCGAGTGATCGACCGACTACAGTAAGTAAATGTAGAGTCGAGTTGATAGTTGATTTTTATCATTCTCTGAAACGAGGCATACTAGCCAGGCGTGTGGAAGATAGTGGTAAGGAGCAAGTTACTAGTCACTGGTTAAGTTAATCGTTCCTAATCAAGTACGCTACACAATGAACTGTTCCGTTCGAGTTTATCGGTCGAGTAGAGAGTCGAGTCGAGTATCGATTATTGCCAATAATATACTACTAACGTTGCATTGCCTATCGTCGTGTGAGTGAGGTTATCAGACGCCCAATAAGCCCGCCCCTTCCCCAATCTCCCCAATCCCCAACAATCCTCAAATTTCATCATAACATCACGCCTTTTATCCCCGAAGGGGTAAGCAGAGGTGCACATTATGCCACTGTACAATGTAACACCCACTTTTCACTATTTATGTTACGAGTCCCATGTAATAGGGGGTGAGCCTATTGCCATATACCGGGCACAATTCCAGACTCCGTGCTACTACTGAGATTTTTTTTAAAAACCAGTCGCCCATGGACATCTTAAACATCAGAGGCTTCGGAGTCGCGGAGAACCTAACGGGTAACCGGGGCTCCGGCTCGACGTGCAGGAGAAGGAACGGGGTGGTTTTTAGTCAGTAAGAGTCTGACACTCCCTTCCGCCTCACCCAGGCGGGAGCAGTCATTCGATGATTTTCCCCCCTTAAAAAAAAAAAAAAAAACATCAGAGGCGTTACAGTGCGTTACCGGCCTTTAGGTTAGGGAATTGGGAATTTGAAGATTGTAAGGGATTCGGGGATTGGGGACAATCCTTACCTTCCTAATATTATAAATCGGAAAGTGAGTGTATTTGTGTTTTTTGTTCCGCTTTCACGCCGTAACTACTAAACCGATTGCTTTGATTTTTTGCAGACGTAAAGTTAGAAGTCCGGATTAAATAATAGGGTACTTTTTATTCCGGAAAAATTTGATATTCCCGATTGAAAACAAAAGTGTTGGTATAGATGGCGCTGTGTGTATTGGTATATGTTACATAGGCTACTTTTTATCCTTTTGTGACGCGAGCGAAGCCGCGGGTAAAAGCTAGTGAGTAATAAACACACACTTATTACTCAATCGCGATAAAACGGCTGAATTGATCAGGATGTTATTTGGGACAGAGGTAGATATTGGTCTAGAATAACACTTAACGGGCGCCGTCGCCTCGTGAACGGCCGCCGTCAACTGGGACTGGTCAGCTCCTGACTGTATTACTGTCCTTAAGGTTATTTTCTTTTTCGATCACTTTGACTGGATTTTAGTGTTACATTGTTCTCGCACAATCCAAACAGCAAAACTATGTAACTAGTAAATTGTATTGTGAACCTGATTGAAAAAGAGTAACCTATGGAGTTTCTTGCTCGTTCTTCTCCATAGGAATCTACGCCTTGGAATGTGCAAATAGCTTCACTTTAAATTTTTGTTTTTGTTGACGTTCAAAAGTGCTATTCTGGCCTAATTGAAATAAATGATTTTGACTTTATTTCTCGATAATAATATATATTTAACGTATTTATTCACAAAAATTATACATAAATTAGTTTATACATCAAACATCGCCAAACTATATAACTGTTTGTTGGCGAAAGTGGCGCTCTTATATTATACAATAAAGTTACTAATAACTACTATTAATCTATATAAATACTAAACTATTAATGAATAACTACATATTATCTTTAGTTTTTTTTATGTCTAGAACAATTATATGTATACTAGCTTTTTTACCCACGGCTTCGCTCGCGTCACAAAAGGATAAAAAGTAGCCTATGTGACATACCTATACCAATACACACAGCGCCATCTATACCAATACTTTTGTTTTCCCTCGGGAATATGAAATTTTTCCGGGATAAAAAGTAACCTATTATTTAATCCAGACCTAACTTTACGTCTGCTAAAATTCAAAGCAATCGGTTTAGTAGTTACGGCGTGAAAGCGGAACAAACAAAAAAACAAACAAACTCACTTTCCAATTTATAATATTAGTAAAAAATCTCAGTAGTAGCCCGAAGTCTGGAATTGTGCCCGGTATATGGCAATAGGCTCACCCCCTATTACATGGGACTCAAAACATAACTAGTGTAAAGTAGGTGTTACATTATACAGTGGTATAATGTGCACTTCTGCCTACCCCTTCGGGGATAAAAGGCGTGATGTTATGTTATGTTAAAAAATCTCAGTAGTAGCACGGAGTCTGGAATTGTGCCCGGTATACGGCAATAGGCTCACCCCCTATTACATGGGACTCATAACATAAATAGTGAAAAGTAGGTGTTACATTATACAGTGGCATTAAGTGCCGTAATGTGCACCTCTGCCTACAGTTCGGGGATAAAAAACGTGATGTTATATGTTATTAATGTTAATAAATTTTCCTTCGTATATTTAGGTATATATATGTCCCCATACTTATTTGTCTACTGTTTGCATTACGTATATACATATTTTAATACTCCTTCATTATATATAATTAGTATATTATATTGTGTGATGAGTATAATTATATAATAATATGATGTTAATGTTAATTTTAATTTTAATTATATCTACATGTCAATGTATGATCAAAATTCACTCAGTGTTAAACGTTTACACTTACTATTGTGTCTCTCTGCATCACCCTAAGGTTGACTGTTAGAGAATGCCACTAGGCATTAAGTCCGCCTTTGTATACGTACAAGAAGTGTAAATAAATAAAATATATAAATAAAAAATAAAAAGAACCAACCAGGATATCACCCCCCCCTAGTTGACTGACGCATTTGTTTTTTAATTACTTAGTCATATGAATAACGAAGCGTTCAAGCAATTATATGAATAAAAGCTATTTTACTAGTTTTATGTATGAAGTTATATTGCAATTCTTTTTCCTCATTCAGAGATAAAATGTTAAATTTAATTAAACCACATAATTATGGAGTTTCTTGCTCGTTCTTCTCCATTCGAATCTACTTTTTGGAATGAGCACCTAGCTTCACCTAGTTTCACTGACGGACTGACTGACAGACTATTATTTATTTTGTATTTGTTGACGTTTCAAAAGTACCAAACTATGGTTTAATTGAAATAAATGCTTTGACTTTGACGCCGCGTTCAGTTTAAAAATAATGATTTTCAATCAAGCAATCGGTTTCATGTTGAATTTGTTTTCTTATTTTTCTATCAACAACAATTAAATATGCAATTTGACGCAAAAAATAACACATCAATAATTCCACATAAAATCGATACTTCATCATCGGTTTAGACAATACGAAAAAATTAATTGATTTCGATCCGTTGGGAACATTTTTATTTCTTTAGTTTTAAAAGGGTTTAATCAGATAGCGCTGCTGCCCGGTCTCTGTCTAATGTGTAACGGTAAAATGGGGTGGATAGGGATCGAGAGGTGAATAGGGACAGAAGAGGGGTGAATCGATACTATGAACAATTTCCCAATATCTATTCTACTATTCGCCCCTCTTCTGTCTCTATTCACCTCTCGATCCCTATCCACCCCATTTTACGGTAAGGCCTTAGTCGGGTATACGGGGTGGAGACAAAATATATTCTACTTCTACCGTCATATGGTCGGCTCTAAAGACGCCCACGGCAAAAGCATGGGTGTGATCAAAGCATGTATATGACAAGATTGAGTGAATATCATAACATCACGCCTTTTATCCCCGAAAGGGTAGGCAGAGGTGCACATTTCGGCACTTAAAGCCAAAAGGCATAGAGGTTTAGCATAAGAGCTAATTTGGGGACAAGACACAATGCTATCCCTAAGAACTTCCCGAGCGTACGGCTCGTCACGTTCCGCGCGCGTCTCAAAGAGCCATCAAACCACCACAGATGGGGCCAACAGGGCCGATGCCGATTCGGAGTCGCGGAGAACCTAACGGGTTACTGGGGCTCCGGATGGACGTGCAGGAGAAGGAACGGGGTGGATTTTAGTCAGCAACAGTCTGACACTCCCTCCCGCCTCACCTAGGCGGGAGCAGTCATTCGATGATTTTCCCCCTTAAAAAAAAATCGCTAAGAACTTTCAAAACACCACACTCCAAAATATTTTAACCGACCCGCGAATCGAACACACACATACATATCATCACGCCGTTTCTCCCCGACGGGGAATGCAGAGGAGCAGGAGCACATTTCGGCACTTAATGCCACTGTACAATGTAACACCCACGTTTCCCTATTTATGTTATGAGTCCCATGTAATAGGGAGTGAGCCTATTGCCATATACCGGGCGCAATTCCAGACTCCGTGCTACTACTGAGAATTTTATTCAGTGGAATGATGACGATTTTGTTTTTATTGTCTGTAGGTGAAACTTGCAGCAAAGATGGCGTAGCTGGAATATGTACAAACTTGAACAGATGCCAGTCAGCCATTCAAGACATTAGGAATCGGAAAAATCCAAAGGTAAGCTTTATCTACTTATGTATATAATACTTTTTTTAAGGGGGGAAAATCATTAAATGACTGCTTCCGTCTGGGTGAGGCGGCAGGGAATTTCAGACTCTTACTGACTAAAAACCACCCCGTTCCTTCTCCTGCGCTTCGAGCCGGGGCCCCGGTTACCCGTTAGGTTCTCCACGACTCCGAATCGGCATCGGCCCTATTGAGCCCCATCTGTGGTGGTCTGATGGCTCTTTGAGGCGCGCGCGGAACACGACGCGCCGAACGCTCGATATATATAATACTAGCAGCCCGTCCCAACTTCCCACGGGGTAGACAATGATTTATTTTTGGCAATTTGGATTGTTGTAATGACATAACTACAATAGTTGGACATATGCTACCGCGGAGTTTTTTGTAGACATTATGTATGATGTTCTTCAATATTGTTGTACATTATTTTGTTCTATCGCTAATAGTTTCGGCAGCGCATTCGACGAAAGATATTTTAAGGCTCATTTTTCTACACCTTTGGTTACATTGTTCAAATTTTACCAAGGATCCCTAATTTTTTCAAAATTAAATGTAGCCTATGTGAAATTGGAAGAATGTAGCATTCTATTGGTGAAAGATTTTTTTAAATCGGCCCAATACTTTTTGAGCCTATTCATTACAAACATACAAAAATAGGTACAAATCTTTCCTCTTTATAATATTAGTATAGATATAGAAGTATAGATAAAAATAAGTCGGGTTTTCCTTCCTGACGCTATAACTCCAGAACGCACGAACCGATTTCCACGGTTTTGCATTCATTGGAAAGGTCTTGGGCTCCGTGAGACTTATAGCAAAGAAAAGTCACTTTTAATCACCAAACGAAATATTACATAAAACGAAGCCATCTGGTGGCGAAACGGAGTTCGCCGGGTTTGCTGGTATATAAATAAAAATGAATTTCCGTTCGTTAGTCTCGCTAAAACTCGAGAACGGCTGAACTGATTTGGTTAGTTTTGGTCTTGAAATGATCGTGGAAGTACAGGGGCGGTATAACAGGTGAGAAAAAAATGTTTAGGCGGTTCGAAGTTTGCCGAGTCCGCTAGTCAATTATATTTTGGGATAGGTTGGCAAACGAGCAGACGGATCACCTGATAGTAAGCAATCGGCGTTGCCCTTAGACACCTGGAAAACAAGAGGCTTTATAAGTGCGTTACCGGCTTCTTGGTTATTTGAGGATTAGACAGATTGGGGGATAATTGGACTGACAATTGACAACTGATAATTGACTTTTTTTTTTGGACCCTGGGAAAATACTTTATGTATCATCCTCCCGTGGGGGATATGTGGGACTCTCCGGGAGAAATCCGGCATACCCACTAAAAACCCAGGAGCACACCAGCGGCACCGTGTGAGGGGGCATATCACGCCCATCCCTGTGTTGGGGAGGGGTCTCGGGAACGGTTGTGTGCTGGTCGCTCCCGTCCCGCGAAAGGTGAATAGTGCAATGCGGGAGTAGGCGCAGGGGGATAATTGGACCTCTAGTAACCTTATTTACTCTACACTTAACGCAAGCGTTGTTTCACGTCGGTTTTCTGCTCGGCAGTGGCCGTATCACTCCGGTTGAGCCGGCCCAGCAGTGCCGAAGCATGGCTCTCCTACACTTAACTGTTATTTTATGCGTCATTAATAATTTAACGAGCAGTACTATAATAGTAACTGTTAGAATACTTAGTAGGTACTATTAAGGATAGTTAATACTAATTATCCTTTGATTCATATTTAATCGGTTTTGTTACTACTTTTAATCGACTGGGGCTTTCCCAACCGAAGACACTGGCACATGAAAGGTCTTCCTAAGAAGGAGCTGATCCAGTTATGCATACCAGATGCATACGCGGTGCGAGGCCAGCGCTGCTGGCGATACCACGCGCGCGCACCAACCTCCTACTGACGCGGGCGTTGCGGACGCGTGAGTGAGGTTACCGGAGGCCCAATTACCCCCCCCCCCCCAATCTCTCCAATCCCCGAATCCTCAACTCCTTATCCCCAAAAGGTCGGTAACGCACTTGTAACGCTTGTAATTGGATGGGTACTTGCCTTCATCAAAAATAAATTATTTCGACTGTCCAATACAATAAATTATTACAAAACTAGCTTCTGCCCGCGACTTCGTACGCGTAATCCCATTTTTTCCCGTCCCCGTTCGTGATTTTCGGTAAAAAGTAAAAAAAAATTTGGTCAAAAAGTATCCTATGTCGGTCTCCTGGCTCTAAGCTACCTCCCTACCAACTTTCAGCCAAATCTATTCGGCCGTTCTTGAGTTATAAGTGGTGTAACTAAAACGACTTTCTTTTATATATATATATAGATTATCATACTTTCATTAATTGATTTTATGACCAACTTAATTTTAGTATTTTTCCAGCAAATGTTTAAGAAGTAAGTGTGCTGTTTGACGCTAAAAAAACGTGACGTCACAATACACAATCTCGTACAAAATTCATAGAAAACTCTCGTTTTTGACAGTTCGAAAAAAATATTGAATTTGACTGCACCGACATCGCCGCGACCGCGCAAGCTGCTCATGAGGAAGAGCCCCTCCGTGGTTCGAAACTAGTAGAGCTTTTCTCAATATATTCATGTGAATAACCCGCGATTTTTATTTAATTTAGTATGTCTCACGATAGTTATTATAGAAACGTTATTATTGTTATGTCATGTTATGTTATGATGCGGGCAGGCATTGAAACTATTCAGATAACTATGGTAATACCCACATAAACAATAGTGATAATTTATATTAATGTTTTTCCTTATAGAGATATAAACCGCGTTAAATTTTCCTTATAGTTAAAAAACAAGTTACTATTTGTATAAATGCAATATTTGTTGACGTCGTGGTGGCCCAGAGGTTAAAACGCCCGCTTCTTATGCATGAGGGCGCGGGCTCCCACCAACGGCAAGTACCAATGTGACCTTTTCCAAGTTATATGTACTTTCTAAGATTATCTAGACACCACTGACAAACGGTGAAGGAAAATATCGTGAGGAAACCTGGGCTTATAATTTCTATTTATAAGTCAAGACTGCCTCGTTGGCCGAGTGGTCGCAAGTGCGACTGCCGGGCAAGGGGTCTCGGGTTCGATTCCCAGGTCGGGCAAAGTATTACTGGATTTTTAAAAAAAACCTTTGGTAGTAGCACGGAGCCTGGATTATTGTGTGCGGTATATGGCAATAGGCTCACCCCCTATAACATCGATAGCATAACATAAATAGTGAAAAATGGTTGTTATATTGTACAGTGGCATTAAGTGCCGTAATGTGTGTAGTATATTAGTGACGGTATGTCAATATTCCATGATAATTGTATGTGAGGGTGTTTGAATAAAAGTCAGTGTTTAACCAACTTGCGTGCGTTTCATTACATGGTGTCAGAAGTGGGATCTTTTTAACATTAATTGCGGGTTAAAAAGATATTTTAGTAACAATAAACTATTATTCTAAGTGTCGTTGTGTACAAGAATAATAAATATGGAGCACGCACGTCCTCCAGTCGAATTATCGCTCGACGGTGGTCCGGCCGCGCGGTCCGACGCGTGGCATAAATGGCGGAAACAGTTCGAGGTTTTCCTTAAAGCATCTGGAGTGAGCAAAGAGCCTAAGGAAGTTCAGGCTAGTTTGTTGGTTAACCTCATCGGATCAGCTGGTTATGAGGCTTTTACAACTTTTACGTTTGAAGGAGGTGAAAGTGAAGACGACATTCATTGCGTATTAAGGAAGTTCGATAAATATTTCGGCACGAAACCAAATATCACAGTGCGGCGGTTTAAATTCTTTTCACGCGATCAGGAAGAGGGTGAAAACATCCATCAATATGTAACCGCGTTGAGGGTATTGAGTCAGCAGTGCGAGTTCAGTGAATTGCACGAGAGCCTGTTGCGTGATAGGATTGTGTGTGGTATTGTAAACAATACGGTGAGAGATAGACTTCTCCGCACAGACGAGTTGTCGCTATCCAAAGCGATACAAATCTGTCAGGCGGCAGAGATGTCCAAGGAGGAGAGTAAGCACATCGACGGTGCATCTGAGGGGGTGCAAGTGGATGCTGTGCAAGGCGGCCGCAGAGCACGAGGCGGGCGGCGCGCCGGAGGATGGCGCGGAGCCGGCGGAGCGCGAGCAGCGCGCGCGCCGCTTGTCGCTTGTGAGCGATGCGGCAGCGTGCGGTGTCTCGGTGGCGAGCGGTGTCCGGCGTGTGACGTAAAGTGTTATGTTTGTGAAAAGAAAGGTCATTTTTCGCGAGTGTGTAAGCATACAAAATCGATTCGCAAAGTGTTAAATCTCAGTGTAGAAACCGTAAATAGTGATAGTGACGAAGAAAGTCAGAAACAAAGGTTTTATATAAACACCTTAGATAATAAGAAAAAACAATGTAAGTCGCCATTGGAATGGACAGAAATTATAGAATGTCAAGGTAAAAAACTTTTATTAAAAATAGATACTGGATCAATGATTAATGTTATCTCTAAAGTAAATTATATGAAGTTAGGGTTATCTATTACAGACCTTAAACCGTTCACAAAACGTGTATATTCGTTTACAGGCAATCAGTTATCAATTATAGGCATTGGCAAGATTTCTTTTATGTTTAGAAAAACTAGTTATGTGTTATCATTTGTTGTTGTGGATTTGTTTTGTCAGAGTGTACTCGGTTTAGAGGGATGTATTGCGTTAGGATTAATAAATCAAATAAATACAATCAATTTGGATAACTATAATGAATTGTTTCAAGGATTGGGAAAATTACCTGGCAAATATAGTATAGTAATAGATAAAAACGTACAACCAGTTATATGTCCTACTAGGAAAATTCCATTCGGTCTTAAGGATAAATTAAAGGAGGAATTGTGTAGAATGGAAGACTTGGGTGTAGTTAGGAAGGTCACTCATCCAACCTCATGGGTAAATGCAATAGTTTTAGTCGCGAAAAAAGATGGCAGTATTCGTGTTTGTTTAGATCCGCGACCATTAAACCGGGCGGTGCAACGTGCGCAGTACTCGCTCCCGACGGTACCGGAGCTGGCCGCGCGCTTGCGCGGTGCTACTGTGTTTAGCGTGTTAGATGCGCGCTGTGGTTTCTGGATGGTTCAAATAGACGATGTGAGCGCTGATCTCTGTACGTTTGGCACACCATTCGGTCGATACCAATTTCTGCGTTTACCATATGGTATAAACTGTGCGCCAGAAGTATTTCATGCGAAGCTTAGGCAACATTTAGAAAATTTAGAAGGAGTTGAATCTTTTATTGATGACATAATTGTATGGGGCCGTAGTAAAGACGAGCACAACCAGAGATTAGAGTGTCTTCTGCGATGTGCTAAAGATATTGGCATAAAATTTAATCGCGAAAAATGCAAGTTTGGTGTATCAGAAATTACTTACTTGGGTCACAAGTTTGACGCGAATGGTATGCGGGCAGACGACTCCAAAGTAAAAGCTATAATGGATATGCCCTATCCTACTGATAGGAAGGCTCTCGAGAGGTTTTTGGGCATGGTAAATTATTTAGCTAAATTTATACCTAATTACTCAGAGAGTGTAAATGTGTTAAGGTCGTTATTAAAGAAAGATTCGGAGTGGTCTTGGGAATCTCAACATTCAGAAGCAGTGGATAGGCTAAAGGCAAAGCTAGGTAGTGCACCGGTGCTAGCGCTGTACAGTGACAGTGCGCCGTTAGTGGTATCAGTGGACGCGTCTAGCGTCGCGCTGGGCGCTGTGCTACTACAAAATGATCGTCCGGTGGAGTTTGCATCGCTTACGCTCACCGACACTCAGACTAGATACGCGCAGATCGAAAAAGAAATGCTAGCTATTGTGTTTGGTATCGAAAGATTCAAGCAGTATATTTATGGGAGAACTGACGTCACCGTAAACACCGACCACAAGCCACTAGAAGCATTATTTAACAAACCCCTGGTTTCGGTACCAGTTAGGCTACAAAGAATGATGTTGAGAGTACAAGGATACGACTTCAAAGTAGTATATACGCCGGGCAAAAATATGTATATAGCAGACACGTTATCGAGGGCACCTTTGAAGGAAAAAATGCATGACCAAGTATCCACAGAAGTGGAGATACAAACTTGTTTCATGTTAGAACATGTACCTTTTAGCCAACCACGATTGGAGGCCATTCAAAAAGAAACGGACTTAGATAGTGACTGTCGATGGTTGATTAAATACATAACAAAAGGCTGGCCTAAAAATAGGCGCGATGTAAATGAACGAGTGAACGCTTTCTGGCCATATCATGAGCAAATGCATTATGTAGACGGAATCATTTTTAAGGACGAATTAGTGTTTATTCCTCGTGCTTTACGGGAAGACATGTTGTCACGAGTTCACGAAGGACATTTAGGTATAGAACGGTGTAAAAGGCGCGCGCGCGATGTAATGTTTTGGCCGGGAATGTGCGACGATGTCGAGCGCATCGTGCGCACGTGTGCAGCTTGCGCACTGCACGCGCCTCGCCCGCGACGTCAACCGCTTCTGCAGCATAGCGTGCCTGCGCTGCCATGGCACAAGCTAGCATCGGACACGTTCGAGTATAAAAAAAAGAATTACATTGTTTTAGTTGATTACTTTTCAAACTACGTTGAGGTAGGACAGTTAACGAGCATAAGCTCGAAGCAAGTAATTTCTTTTATGAAAGAGCAGTTTGCTAGGCATGGTATACCAGCAGAATTAGTCAGTGATAATGGTCCGGCTTATAACTCACAAGAATTTAAAAAGTTTATGCGCGAATGGGAAATACAGCATGTAACGTCATCACCGCATTACCCACAATCAAACGGGAAAAGCGAAAGAACAGTGCAAACAGTTAAAAATATGTTAAAGAAGTGTGTAGACTCGGGACAAGATTTCAATTTAGCATTGTTAAATTTCAGAACTACGCCGCGGCATGACTTAGACTCACCTGCCCAGATGTTAATGGGTAGAAGGCTGAAAACTAGATTACCGGTCTGTACTAAACTACTAACGGAGAGGGTAGATAATGAAAAAAATTATAAAACAATTTTGTCAAAGAGGGAACAAATCAAAATAAATTACGATAAATCGGCAAACACCCTTAAGCGATTATCTCAAGGGGATAGGGCAACTTTAGTGTGTAATGGCGCCAGGAAACCGGTGACCGTAGTGGCACAAGCAGCTCAACCGCGCTCGTACATTGTAGAAGACGAACGTGGTGGACGGTATCGGCGAACTCGAAGTCAGTTGATAACGCGTACGGCCTCGTCAGCAGAAATAATTAGAGAAACTGTGAGACAACCATCTGATAATGAATTTAGTTGCAAGTTACCAAGTGTGATCTCGATGGCAGGGTATCGTAGGCGTAGACGAAAGCCAGAATCCACAGGATCGCAAAACACCGTGGTTCCTATTTGGGCGCAGGCAAGCCCAGCGAACAGCGAGTACCATGAAAGTCCAGTTGGTAGTCGAGACCAGTCTTGTACGTTGTCACCTCACGAGATACCTATTGAAAGGTCTAAAGAAAGAACTGCACGAATGCTGAATCATCTATTTCAATATAATGAATAGATATAGGTTATAGAAATAAGAAAACTTAGAAAAAATTGTTGTATAAATAGGAAGGAATAGGGCAATTACTTTATAAGATTAGATAAGGAAAAATTATGTGTTATTATGTAAGTTAGATATAAGCATTAGTTAGTATGTACGTAACATTAATTTTAAGTAGTTGTTAGTAAGGAAAAATTATGTGTTATTATGTAAGTTAGATATAAGCATTAGTTAGTATGTACGTAACATTAATTTTAATCATTGGGCATTGCTTTTCGGAAAGGAAGAGATGTAGTATATTAGTGACGGTATGTCAATATTCCATGATAATTGTATGTGAGGGTGTTTGAATAAAAGTCAGTGTTTAACCAACTTGCGTGCGTTTCATTACAATGTGCACCTCGGCCTACCCCTTCGGGGATAAAAAGCGTGATGTAAAATATTCTATGCTTATTTTCAGATCTGTACGTTCAACAATGTGGACCCCATCGTTTGCTGCCTGGACATCACTCCTGGACCAACTGCTACTACCACAAAGAGGTAAGCGCGATAATTGATCATCTGCCGCGTCCCAGAGACGTGAATCCCTGGGACGCGCCGGACTTCAGTGTTCCGGTGTTTGCATAATTGTATCTACTGTAGATCCTGGTGCACAGGAGTTTTTTTTTTTTAAAGTACGTTCTGTTATTTGTATGATGCGTCAGGTATGTCTTTACATTATTCTCACATGTGTGTACAATTATTGGAATATGTATCAGAGCAATGTAAAACATACTTTTTTTTAAAAGAGTAACGAATGGAGTTTCTTTCTCGTTCTTCTCCACTCGAATCGACATTTTGGAACGAGCGCCTAGCTTCACTGACGGACAGACTGACAGACTATTGTTTATTTCATATTTGTTGACGTTTCAAAAGTACCAAATTAAGGTTTAATTGAAATAAATGCTTTTGAGTTTGAGTTGCGGTTTTGGAAGATTATAGCGAGCTTGCCCCAATAAAAAATGTGAATATTTGTAAGTTTGTGTGTATATTTGTGAAAGCCTCCATGCCTCGGAACAATAACTAGACATGGAAGCCAGGCTAAAATAGCAATTTACAAACATATATCTGATGCTCTCACTCTTTACACGATTTTGCGTAGGCGAGAATGAGACCGCAAACTGAACATAGTTCTGATAATTTGCAGGTTGTCACAACTTTCAGTGGACTCATTACAATCTTATGTCATTGGACTCATTCAGCATACTACCAAATTCAAAATCACGTTTTGACGTTCTATGTTTTACAGTTTCACTCAAGTTTGACACCTTCCTCACTTTGCCGGATTATAGTACTGAAGTGTCACCGTGGTTGTATTTACGGCTCCTGATAATAAAAAATATTTTCTAAGGAATTAGCGCAAAAGAAAGGAAGAAAGGAAGTGTATGGCCGTTCTTTATTATGTGTTTTACTTAATAAAAATACGTCTTGTGTGATTGACGGCTGCAATTCACATTTAGGAAGAAAAGAAAACAGTGGTGAAAAAATTCACTTTCATTCGTAACTTTTTGATATGTTTTAAAATAAATTATACTGGAAATACCGGTAAACTATAAATAAATGTTACTTATTTATTGTCGTACTTTTCAATTGCAAGCCTAAACAGTATTATTCCATCTTTTCCTAAAAAATCTAAATCAATTTTCTAAGTTAGTTTTTAAGCTAGTGATGTGGTCATGTTACATATCGATATTTTAGTTAGGCTTTGAAGTTCTTTATAGTATAGACGTCGTTTAGAGCCCGAGTCACATGATACTTTTGATGATTTGACAGAACACGACTACATTTTGTACCCATCATCTATTACGGAATATTCTAAGAATGTCATAGAATACATAATCGGCTTTATCGGAACGAAATTAAAAAATCTTTGCAATGCGAAAAATGCCTAGAAATACGGAAAGTATTCCGGAAAGATCTTTGATATCTTTAAATATAGAGGAGGCCTATTTAAACCAACATATGGCTTAACCAAGATCTGTCAACTGTCCGAAAAAATTATAAGAGAATATCAAGTGCATATTGATTCAAAATCTCTCGGTAAACCAAAATAATTATTAGATTGATTAATAAAGTTTCAGCAAATGTGTTGCCGTCAAAAAATTTACGTGAAAAAAAAGATTATTCATTAGAACAATATTTCTATGATGATCACAGAAATCTTATAAAGTCCATAGCACAAAAATATTTTAAACTTAGGATACATGTCATTATGTAACTAAAAATTTGACTGTACCTACCGAAAAAATTCGCACATATTTAAAAGTCAATGATAAACACATAATAGTACACCACTACCACGGTTTGTAAATATGCTTTGTTTGTGAGCAATTAAATTATCTTTTTAATATTGTGTTTTATTTCTGAACCCACAACATCCAGATTAAGAACCTAATGTACGTTAAATCACAGCAGCAATACTTTCAGGTACCATAATTTGTCGATAAAATATATTAATATATTCCCATCACTAGCATATTTACAAGTAGTGACAACCCGCATAATAACGAAACGAAACAATACACATGTCTCTTTCTTATACACTATCAATACCATAAGTAAAAAAAAGATGAATATATTGATTGTAGTTGTTATTTTAGCCTGGCTTCCATGCTTTAGTTATTGTTCCGAGCTCCATGCTTTGTATTGTCTTTGGATAAGGTGACACACGTGTTATAAAACAAACGTCAATTGAAATATTCTAGCTACAAATTGAAATATTGTAAAGAATTAATTTTATTTCGATAATATAGGATTGTTATTTTAGTTATTTAATTTAAAGAATTTAAGTGAGGATCGACGGGCTTTTTTTTTAAGGGGGGAAAATCATCGAATGACTGCTCCCGCCTGGGTGAGGCGGAAGGGAGTGTCAGACTCTTACTGACTAAAAACCACCCCGTTCCTTCTCCTGCACGTCGAGCCGGAGCCCCGGTTACCCGTTAGGTTCTCCGCGACTCCGAATCGGCATCGGCCCTATTGGGCCCCATCTGTGGTGGTCTGATGGCTCTTTGAGGCGCGCGCGGAACGCTACGCGCCGTACGCTCGGGTCTGTTTCTGGTCGGACGGGGAGCCACCCATGCTCGCCGTCCGCAGGCCCGCGCTTACGGTGGCCGGAGATCGTCCCGCGATCGCCGACGCCCGGTGTGTCCTTCGCGATGGCTGGGTTGCGAGGAGGCAGCGCTTCGCTGCCTCACGCGTCCCGCCTCCTCCTTAGGATCGACGGGCTAAAGCAGTGACAATTAATTGTCGATTCTCTATTGTTATAGATGAATCCTATTATTTCATTGCTGTCTCAAATCCTCATCTTATATTTGTTACTTAATCATATCAAAACAGCTGAAGAGACCGGGATGAAATTTCAAACAACATACAATATGGCCTGGAATAACACTTACGGTACTTTTCATCCCACAAGACGCGGGTGAAGCCGGTGTCAGAAGCTAGTATTAAACCAGTCATTGTTTTAATATTCAAATTCAAATCACTTTAATGCATCTATAGTGTGTACAGGGTTGTTTACAATTTTTAACAAAATATGTTCCAACTATAGGCCCATTTGGGCACCGCAAAAGTACTTACTCTACTTACAAAATAATATTTTTAATTAATGCAATAATTTATTTATTTCAAATCTTATATAAGGATTTGTTTTAAAGTTACAAAAAAAATATTAATATATTTCAACTTATTACCTTAATATGGCACAAAAACATTATTTTAATTTTTTAATTTTGTTTACAAAATGCACTTACTGGCTTACTGTGGGTACCAACACGCCAGTAAGCTAGTTAATTAAAATAAGAAAAAAAATATGTCATAAAAATAATAAAAATAGAATACAATACAAATAAATAATGTCAAATTAATAAATGTCAAATATTTGTAGTACATGTCCAAATACATAAAATCTAGGATATTGTATATTAAATCTACAAATAAAAAGAATCAATATGTCAATATCTCTACAATAGAAATAACTGTGAAGAGCCTTAATAATTAAGAAGTAACAACTCATATTTACGAATAGTCACACATTTAGGTCAAAAGGTCATCATTATTGAATAGCGTTAAATAATTTATTGACAAATGTTTCAGTTTTAGAACATAGTTTTTTAAAGTGGTCAGCAAATATATCGATATCATTGTCATGAGCGATCATATCCCCAACAAGGCCCAATGCGCGAACAGTAGGTGCTTGTGACGCATAGTTGGTGCAGACGCATTATCAAATACTACAATAACCATACATACCAATTTAATATTGCACTCCAATACTTATCATTTTATTATTCTATAATATAATTTTCAGGCCCTCGGTGACGACTACCACGGAGTACATACCTCCTGTGTATGACTACGTGAACGTGGACCCGAACAGCAGCGGCTGTGAACCGATTCCTGAATCATTGACAGCTAAGAAAACTGGACAAAAGGCGTGGGATAGTAAGTATTTCATCATCAACCACTGCTGAGCAAAGCCTCTTCTTATACGAAGAAAGTTTTAGCATTAATAATCACCACGCTTGCTCAATGCGGGTTAGCGATTACAAACTTATAATTAGAAATTCCTCGCTTCCTCTCGCCCAGGTTTCCTCGCGATGTTTTCCTTCACCGTTTGTCAGTGGTGTCTAAACAATCTTAGAGAGTACATATAACGCGGAAAAAGTCATATTGGTAGATACCGTTGGTAGGTTTCGAAACCACAACCTCATGCATGTGAAGTGGGCGTCTTAAACTTTCGGGCTACCACGACATCGTAACTATGTATAATAAAATACACAAATGTCGATGTCGCAGTCAACTAGTTTAATTAGCCGTTCAGATAACGGCCTAAATAAATTGGAAGGTACCTGTGACCCGTAGAGGATACTCCTGGGTAGCGACTGCGTCACTGTCACGTCACTGCGAGGACCATTCGGAGTAGTACCTATTCTGTGATGGTGTGTCCTGCTTGGACGGAACCTCGCCCTCAGGGAAGCGATCGGCGACGGCGTCCTTTCGCGCCCGTTTATGATTTCGGGCATGCTGTGGAGATAGGAGAAGTGGGAAGCTGTCTCTTTCTTTTGCAAAGTCGTCATACTAGCTAAGGAAGAGCATCTGCGATAACAACAAACCGGGTGTTGGGGATCGCATGACGACCAGCCACTGTGTTAATAATATCTGCTATTTCGCGCTTCGGAAGTAGTCTATCCGGAGACCCGGTGCCCTTATGCCCGCGTTTCGGATCCAGTCCATCCAGTGCCCACATAAAGCTACTGTAGGTTATCACCAAGGTGGTTTTATTGAGTTCAAAATCCCCAACTCCTCATGTTTCCTCTACTTCGCCTTGCGAGTCCCCTCATTATAAAAACAGGTTCTAACGCCTATTCCCTCCTATTTTCAGAATGTATAGAATACCAGGAGCAACTCGTGTACCCTTGTGAGAAGGGTGTGGCTCTGACAGGAGACCTCAGCAGGAGTAACCGCTGCCATCACAATGCTGATGAGCTCATCATTGGAGGAACTAACGCTGCACAGTATGAGTTCCCACATATGGTAAGTTAAATGTTTTTTTTTAATTATGGGATAGCCATGCTTCTGGACGAACTGGGCCGGCTCGACCAGAGTGATACTATGGCCTCACAGAAAACCGACGCGAAGCAACGCTTGCGTTGTGTTTTGTCATGTGAGTAAGGGTACCAGATGCCCAATTATCCCCACAATCCTCAACCTTCTAATACCCAAAAGGCCGGTAACGCACTTGTAACGCCTCTGGTGTTCCAGATGTCCATGGGCCACCCTGATTGCTTACCATCAGGTGATCTGTCTGCTCGTTTACCGGCTCATGCCATAAAAAAAATTATAACCGATTAAACAAAAAGCAGAATTTGAAGTAGTCGAAATGTTTGTTACACTGTCTTAGGCTCTATACAGACGAACCGCATTTGTACTGCAATCCAAGAGCAAATTGCAGTTCGTATTCAGTGTGGACGCAGTTTACACGACTGCAACAAAGCAAGCATGGTGATTAATGCTCGAACCTATCCCGTGCGAGAAGAGGCTTTTGGTCAGCAGTGGATACTTATAGGCTGTTGATGATGTGAAGTGAAGGGTGTCTCTAAATTAGTCCTAGTATGCTCTAAATTTAGGTACATTGCCTATTAAAAAAGATTTATACGAACCGTTAACTTAATGGTAGGAACAGGGAAAGACTTTTTGGATGCCCCCACAACATCTGTATGGTTGATGCGGAATAAATATTGCATTGTCCCGCCTGACGATGTAATTAGTGAAGTGTGTGCTGTAATAGGACTTGTTATTATGTGATTGAACATACAATGAGTGTGGGAAATAACCCACTTCTACTAAGTGGACAACATCGACATTTTGTTATTGGGATTGGATTGACCGTATTTATGTCCAATCAAAAATGACAACATCATAATTCGAAACGATGATATACAGACACAGATTTAAGGATACAATTAAGAAAGTTCTACCTGCAAAATCGTCTAAAATTATCTGCAATATAATGACAAAAAGGCAACGAGGAACAAAAAGAAAATATCTACGAACACTTCCAAAGCATGGCATAAAGTACAACCCTTTGAAATGCGATAGGCCGGCTGCATCAAAAACTACGATCAAACTCCCCGTAATTGGTTTAGTGTCGCCCTCTACTATGAAAATGAAAGTAATGATATTATATACGAGCTTTTAGGCAGCCCGAACCCCGGTATAATTGTATTAAAATGTTGCGAAACGCCAAATAGATTTACCTACCCAGAAAGATTTAAATCACCTGCTACTTTCATCTCTGCACTGCTTAAAGGTTGACTGGGAGACAATGCCCAAGGCATTAAGTCCACCTGTACACACTTGTTGTATGTAATTGAAATAAATAAAAATAAACAAATTAAATCTTTGACCTTGGAATTCCAGGTGATGGTCGGTTATGGTGGCCAGATCGAAGATGTGCAGTGGTTGTGTGGTGGAGCCCTCATCAGTGAGAAGTTTATCCTGACTGCTGGACACTGCATCGCTAGCAGGGATCTGTGAGTATATAGGTTCAATCCGTATTAAACTGTCAAGCACCAAGCGGTCACCGGTGACCGCGACCTATTGTTCTTTAATTGTGTCTATAAAACCGGTACTCGACGAGTTAATGGTAAAAAATTGGAAGATATACTTTTTACTGCCTCCTTGGCCGAGTGATCGTAAGTGCGACTGCTGGGCAAGAGGTCTCGGGTTCGATTCCCGGGTCGGGCAAAGTATTACTGGGTTTTTTAATACTAGCACGGAGTCTGGAATTGTGCCCGGTATATGGCAATAGGCTCACCACCTATTACATGGGACTCATAACATAAATACTGAAAAGTGGGTGTTACTTAGTACAGTGGCATTAACTCGTCGAGTACCGTATTTATAGACACAATTAAAGAACAATAGGTTGCGGTCACCGGTGACCGCTTGGTGTTTGACAGTTTAAGTGCCGTAATGTGCACCTTTGCCTACTCCTTTGGGGATAAAGGCATGATACTATGTTATGTATATTCTAGTTAATGTTTATCTGTAGTTAATTTGTTTCCAGTGGTCCAATATCATACGTGGCAGTTGGTGCGTTAAGACGAGGTGACGCAGCCGACAGGTCGAGGGTCTACAAAGTTAAGAACATCATTAAACATCCACAGTTCCAGCCTCCGAACAAATACAATGACATTGCCTTAATTGAGACTGAGAATGCGTAAGTATGGGGATTAAGTAGTACTTATATTACTAACGGTACGTCTTTTTTTTTTGATTCAGTCGAAAATCATAAATAAGCAACAAAAATTTTGTTTATGCAATTTCAGGATAAAATTGGACCAGTTCGTGGTACCGGCGTGTCTACATGTTGGCAATCCTATCAATGATTCCAAGGTCCAGGCTACAGGCTGGGGACTCACACAGTACAGCGGTTCCGTGTCTGATACCCTGCAGAAGGTAACTACCTACTAATAAAAAATAAGATAACATAATTTTTTATTTACAAACTAGCTTCTGCCCGCGACTTCGCACGCGTAATCCCATTTTTTCCCGTCCCCGTTAGTGAATTTCGCTAAAAAGTAAAAAAAAAATTTGGTCAAAAAGTATCCTATGTCGTTCTCCTGGCTCTAAGCTACCTCCTTACCAATTTTCAGCCAAATCTATTCTGCACTTCTTGAGTTATAAGTGGTGTAACTAACACGACTTTCTTTTATATATATATAGATAATATAAACTTAAATAAAATAAATACTAACTATTACTAAATATATACAAGTTAAGATAAAAAATTAAAAATAACTATTTATTAATTTCGTCCGCATCGACGTCAGTGGGGAAAGTATCCAGAAGGCTGGCAGCATTGCCACGTTGTATGGCAATGCTTAACCTCTGACCGAGAAAAATACCCTCCTCTCCCTTTCTCTCTCTCAGATGAGTCGACCAGGCGTTTCGAAATGTTTTTGAATAATTTATGGGCACTCGGAGCCCACTGACCTAGCGTCTCAACCCCAAAAGGCTCAAAGATATAACTACCAGCAAGGTTGTTATACTTGCGCCGCTTGAGGCTGTCTGCAGAGGACCAGCCAAACATGACATAACATCACGCCTTTTATCCCCGAAGGGGTCGGCAGAGGAGCATATTACGACACTTAATGCCACTGTACAATGTAACACCCACTTTTCACTATTTATGTTATGAGTCCCATGTAATAGGGGGCGAGCCTATTGCCATATACCGGGCACAATTCCAAACTCCGTGCTACTGCTGCGTTTTTTTAAACTCAGTATTATTTTGCTGCTTGCTGCTTGCTTTTGCTCATAACAGTGTGGGAGAGCCATGCTTCGACACGAATGGGCCGGCTCGACCGGAGTGATACCACGGCCTCACAGAAAACATTCCTGAATCCCCAACGATCCTCAAACTCCTAATTCCCCAAAAGGCCGGTAACGCTCTTGTAACGCCTCTGGTGTTCCAGGTGTCCATGGGCGACGCCGATTGCTTACCATCAGGTGATCCGTCTGCTCGTTTACCGGGTTATGCCATAAAAAAAAGAATAACATTTTTATTTATGTTCCAGGTGGTATTAAACAAGTTTTCTACAGCTGAATGTTCAGCCAAATACCAACCTGTTCGCCTGATGAAGCAAGGGTTTGATGCTCAGAGTCAGCTGTGCTACGGCGATAAGCTTGTCTCTAAGGATACCTGCCAGGTACGTGCGGACATAGCCGGAACCCGTAAGCTAATATAGGTGACACTTGACGAAATGTAGGTTTCCGCCAACCTGTAAGTGAAACCTAATGGTACAAGTAAGGGATTAGCCACTCTAACGTCCGGCCAGCGCGACCGTTTGTCTCTTTAACGTCCAGCCGCGGTACCCGAATCGCCCGCGACGTCGCAACTTCGGCGTAGAACCGTAATGGCTAGAATAAAGAAAAGATACAAACAAAAAATATCTACGAACGAACTATTTCATCGGCTGTATCCTTACTATAATATTGTAAACCGGAAAGTGAGTTTGTTTGTTTGTTTGTTCCGCTTTCACGCCGTAACTACTAAACCGATTGCTTTGAATTTTTACAGACGTAAAGTTAGAAGTTCGGATTAAATAATAGGGTACTTTTTATCCCGGAAAAGTTTGATATTTCCAAGGGAAAACAGAAGTATTAGTATAGATGGCGCTGTGTGTATTGGTATATGTCACATAGGCTACTTTTTATCCTTTTGTGACGCGAGGGAAGCCGTGGGTAAAAGTTATTAGATAATATGTCAAAACTTACCAAACAATACCAATTTTTTAAACTAGATGGAGTTAATCACAACCTTCGCTTTGGATACTACAGTATCCGTGGGCGAATGACGCTACTTTTTTTGGGTACCGTACTACCCATGGACGCAGAGTAGTTACAGTTTGCCGTTCTATTTTACTTTTTACTACCTCTATAAGTTTCTATTTATTTATCCGAAGGAGTACGGCCACATCACAAACATATAACATTCAAAATACACGATAGTAACAAAATAAAGGTCTGATGCATGCGACAATAATGGCGTACATAGCATTGGCAATTCATAGGCTTAACAGTGGCTTAAAAATAAAATCCAATTTGAGAATTATGGAAAAGAAAATAACAACAATAATCCACACCATACACACATTAAAATGAGAATTTAACAAGTTCAATTTTCTATTATGTTTTCATCTGTTTTCTACTAATATTATTTTTTATTTCCAGGGCGACAGCGGAGGTCCAATTCAGATCAAGAACCAAAATATATCTTGCATGTATACCGTCGTAGGTGTGACGTCATTCGGCAGAGCTTGTGGCTTCGTCGGGGAGCCTGGGATATATACTCGGGTCGCGAACTATGTGTCCTGGATCGAAAACATAGTGTGGCCATGAAGATTATTTATTGTGGCATTTATTATTATTACATATGAAACAAAGTCGATTCAAGTGATTAGTTTATAATTTAAAATGAAAATGTAACTGGACATTTAGACATACATATTGATTGTGTGTATGGCATAATTATTATTATTAGAACAAGATTTGTATGAAAGTTAAAACTAAAAGTCAGAAAAATGACAGAAATATAATCAATATTTTATCAGTATATAACTGTAAAAGACATTTTTGATCCAGTGGGCGTGCCTCGTTGGCCGAGTGGTCGCTAGTGCGACTGCCGGGCAAGCGGTCTCGGATTCGATGTGGTAGCACGGAGTCTGGAATTGTGCCCGGTATATGGCAATAGGCTCATCCCTATCACATGGGACTCATAACTTAAATATTGAAAAGTGGGTGTTCCATTGTACAGTGGCATTAAGTGCTGTAATGTGCACCTCTGCCTACCCCTTCGGGTATAAAAGGAGTGATGTTATGTTATGTATTTTATCAGTATGTAATTGTAAAGGACATTTTTGGTCCATCAGTGAGATTTATTGTTAAATTCCTTCTCTGTTTAAGAACAATAAGCATTGATATGTCATTATAATAACTGTCTTGAGATCAACTAAATCAACTAAAAATCGCGGGTTACTCACGTGAATATATTGAGACAAGCTCTACTAGTTTCGAGACACAAAACGTCTATCCCTCATCTACAGCGTGCGCGGTCGCCAGCGGTGTCGAGCATCCCACTGTTTTTTTTTATGGAATAGGAGGCAAACGATCAGACGGATCAGCTAATGGTAAGCGGTCAGCGCCGCCCATGGACACCCGCAACACCAGAGGAGTCCCGGTGCGTTGCCGGCCTTTTAAAAGGGAATGCGCTCTTCTCTTGAAGGTTTGAAGGTCGTATCGGTTCGGAAATACCGCCGACGACAGATCATTCCACAGTGTCGCTGTGCGAGGCAGAAAGCTACGTGAGAAGCGCACAGTTGTGGCCTGCCAACCATCTATACGATGGGGATGCATATGTCGTGAGGGTCGATGGCGATAAGATGCGGCAGGTCGAATAATTCCTCAGAGCACTCCCCGTGGTACAAGTGGGGTTGCCACCTTTTTCTTTGGTATTTAAAGTACATTGACGATTATAGGTAAGAAAAAAAAAGTACACAGTACAAAAATAAAGTACAATTTATTCTTATTTAGTATTGTATTTAAAAATATATTATTTATTGCTTTTTGCAGTTTGTATTAAATTAGTACCTTTACTAGAAATTGTCTAAGTGGCGCTGGCGAGTTATCGATTCAACATAAATCGATAAATATTGATATCGAATCGAAATCGAATATACTGAAAAAAGCTCTACTAGTTTCGAACCACAGAGGGGTTCTTCCTCATGAGCAGCATGCGGGGTCGCGGCGACGTCGCTCACTTGCTGGCGTTGGCGCTCACTTCAGTGTTGCTTGCACTGCGAGCCCAACGCGCCCTCTGTCGGACACTGCGAGCGTTTGCTTCCAACTCCGGTGGCGCGTTGGACGATGTTAAACCCCTCTGTGGTTCGAAACTAGTAGAGCTTTTCTCAGTATATTCACGTGAGTAACCCGCGATTTTACATAATTTAGTATGTCTCACGATAGTTATTATAAAAACTCGTACCAAATTCATAGAAAACAGTAGTTTTTGACGGTTCGAAAAAAGTAATGAATTTGACTATAGTCAGAATTTTAATTAGATTCCAGATTTGACAATAGCTACTGTCATTTTGTGAAATAATGATACCACATATAATAGTGTAGTGATGCACACAAAAATCGATAAACAATCAGTGTGTGTGTTTTATAATAAATGTTACAGAAAGTGACAGGATAGCGATAGCGATGACGGCGACAATTTATAAAATAACTTATTACCATAATACATCTATCTGTTTTATTTGTCATGTTCCTTCATGATTACATTTTTTTATTTATTTCACACACAATTATAAAAGAAAAGTCTCAGATCGTTAATTAATCGTCAAAACAAAATTATCGGTTCAGAAATATTTAATTTCCTGATATAATTAGTTTACTAGAGTAAAATTATAAACGAGAAGAATCGATCCAGACAAATTGCATTTCCATATCGAATAATTTTGCAACGTCACTATTTAGTACTTGTCATAACGTTGTAACACTGAAATTGTCAAATCTGGAATCGAATTAAAATTCCGAGTAAAGTTGGCAAGTACCGAATTGTGTGATTTTGTGTATCGACTAAGCCAGAATAAGCTAGGCACTTATAATTATAGATAAGATTAATATATTTTTCTACAACTTCCTTAATGTGTGGTTTAATTTCAATCAAATTATAACAATACCTTAAGTTTCTTTAATGTCCTTTACGGGACCAAGTAAAGGACATATAAAGAATATTATTCGGTAGTTAGTGTATTGTGACTATCAATTGGTTCTATGGTTTGGATTGGTGGTGGTGGTGGTGAGATTTCATTTTCGTCTATGTGCATGAATTTTCTAACTATACGGCACGTGTTTAGTATAGCCGCTTTTTGCAATCTTATATATGTTACCGGCCAAACCCGATTTCAGGATTTTGCCTAGGCTAAACTAGTTCTTCCTATACGCGTTAGGATGAACTAGTATAGCCTAGTTCAAACTTATTTGTCCTAAGCCCGATAGGATAAACCAGTTTAGGCTAGGACAAACTAGTTGATCCTGATATAAATACGCACATTCTAGGATAAACTGGTTAACTGGTTTTTAATAGACGCAATAATCATATTATGACTAGGCCATACCAGTCTATGAAATCGGGTTTGGCCGGTAACATATATAAAAGAAAGTGGTGTTAGTTACACTATTTATAACTCAAGAACGCCTCAATCGATTTAGATGAAAATTGGCAGGGAGGTAGCTTAGAACCAGGAGACGGACATAGAATACTTTTTAATCAAAATTTTTTTTTACTTTTTACCGAAAATCACGAACGGGGATGGGGGGAAAATGGGATTGCGCGTACGAAGTCGCGGGCAGAAGCTAGTTTGATATATAATATGGTGTCTTTAATATTCAATAACTTTAGACTGTGAAAAAGGTGTTTTGGGATTACTCCAGTAGTAGACAGGACTATCGGTACTTTGTAGACTTTATCCCGTCTCCAAATTGTGCTCACTTCATCCTTGAGATCTGCATATTTGTGAACCTTTTCAGCTATTGTTTTTGTTAAATTGTGAGTGTTGGGGACGGCGATATCAATCAGGTAAGTGGTTTTATTTAATTTATCTTGTAGAATGATGTCCGGTCTATTGAAGTGTGTAGGGTCTATTAAGTTTATCGAGATAAATAAAACTAATGCACTAACGTTATAGAGTCTATATATTAAAATACTAGCTGTGTCCGCGACTTCGTTCGCGTGGAATAGTGACTATGAGCAGCGTTTTTTTTAAATATATACTTATTTTTATTTTGGATCATAATCACAGTCATTTTGTATGTATAAGCATAGAATAGTGTTCGACGTGATTCTTTAATTTGACATTACTTTTTTATTTATGAACCGATTGACATGACACAAACACTAAAGCATAACTGAAACATACCACAATATATTCGTGAAAACCGCATCCAACTCGGATCAGCCGTTTCTGAGATTAGCGTGAACAGACAAACAGACAAAAAAAAGTTAATTACATTTTTGGGTTCGACATCGACATAACAATAACCCCTGCTATTTTTTTATTTTTATTTTTAATGTACAGACAGCACTTTTCTACAATATTATTATATGTATAGATATAGATAGACTACAATTTTATTATTATATGTATAGATGTATAGATAAGAAATAAGTATACAATAATGAGATCAAATAAAGTTTCAGTAATACAAAACGAAAAGAGAATAACAATTTCGATGCCGAGTCCATCAACGCGGGCCGGGGCTCCGCTAGCGGCCGGGCCGTGTGTAGGTATAGCTAAGGGTGTGTACAAGCGTGCGGAAGCATAAGGCCGTGTACAAATGTTGTAAGTATATAAATGCCGTGTATAAATGTTTTAAGACGCCCACTTCTCATGCATGAGGGTGTGGGTTCGAAACCTACCAACGGCAAGTACCAATGTGACTTTTTCCGAGTTATATGTACTTTCTAAGATTATTTAGACACCACTGACAAACGGTGAAGGAAAAACATCGTGAGGAAACCTTAACTTATAATTTCTAATAATAAGTTTGAAATCGCCAACCCGCATTGAGCAAGCGTGGTGATTAATGCTCTAACCTTCTCCGTGTGAGAAGAGGCTTTGCTCAGCAGTGGGCATTTATAGGCTGTTGATGGCAAATGTTGTAAAGTTTTAAGAGTTATAGTATGAATGTGGGTGTAGGTATATGTATGTATGTATGTTTTATGTAAGTATTTATTATGTATATATTATCTTGTACCTTAGCTATATCCTACAAGTGCATGGTTCTGTCTGTAAGTACTGCGTGATCGTAGTACATTTTGTGAGTGGAATTCTCTAGGATGGTGCTAGGAGTGTATTTGTAGTATGGAGTGTGCGTGTCTGTTATGAGGTTGTATTCAATGGCGAGTGTCTGGTGAATGATGTTAGCAAGTTGGTTGTGTCGATGAGTGTGCTTTGGCCGGCTCGACCGGACTGATACCACGGTTGAGCAAAAAACCGACGTGAAGCAACGCTTGCATTGTATTTCGTCGTGTGAGTGCGGTTACCGGAGGCCCAGCTCCCTCCCCCCTTCCCCAATCTCCCCAATCCCCGAATCCCCAACAATCCATAAACTCCTAATCCCCAAAATGCCGGTAACGCACTTGGAACGCCTCTGGTGTGTCTGGGCGACGCCGATTGCTTACCATCAGGTGATCCGTCTGATCATTTACGATAACATTTTCTTGTTTGTATTCACTAACACAAGTCACCAATGTTTCTAAAACTTCAATTGAATGAATACCCGTAAAAGTAAATAAATATAGGTATATCACTGCTGAGTAAATCTGAGAGGGT